GATAGTCCTTCAAATAATAACTCACATTTTTATAACCCCTTAAGGTCTACAAAGCGCTTTACAAACATCACCTCTTTTGATCCTCATCACAACACTATTGGGATATTATCATCACCCTCAGTTTACAGATGAGGAACCTGAGGCTAAGAGGTTAGATTTGCCTAGGGTCATGCAGGCAGTACCTTAGGCAGGGTTCAAATTCAGATCTTCCTACCTCCAAGTCCAGTGCTTGAGACACTAAGGTATCCAGGTGCTAACAAGCTGAACATGGCTATCTTGTCTCTCCCAGCCTGAATCTTTTCTTCTCCAAGCTAAAACATTTCCAGTCCCATTAGCTGGTCTGGCCCCATCTAATTTGAACCATGTCCCTAAACCAAAATCCTTTCTACAACATACCCAATATTACTGAAGCCAGGAACCCTTCCCCACCCTGAGCTTGGGGCAGAGTCCAAAAGGGAGAACTTCCCCTGGTGACAGACCATCTGTTTGTCTGTCATACTAGGGCCGGCAGAGGCCGGAACAGCTGCCTGTCACTCTCCGGGGCCCCCTGCTCCGTGCCTGCTGTTTTTAGCCAGAGGAAGGGGGAGGTGACATTCATTTGACCATCCAGTTAGGCAGGGTAAGGAGAGGACTTTCTCCATGTCCCCCCAACCCTGGCCCAGCATCACACTGGTGGAAATAAGGGATCTGAGTAACCAGGGCAGAAAGAAAAGCCAGCTGGTACCACACCATGACCTGCTCTTGGGATGTGTGGGCAGAGAAGAGGAATGGGGCAATACTCATTGCCTAGCTCTGACCTTGACCCCCTTCATCATAATCAAGCAAGCAAGCATTTATTAAGCCCTTACTATATGACAGGCATCGTGCTAAGGAAGGGCTGAGGATGGAAAGAAAAAACATTGTTTTCAGTGAGCTTTCAAATGAGGAGATAACATATCCATGTTTTTAGGTAGATACCCTAGCACTTTATGCTTTTCCATGCTAATAATGATAACCACTGGATTGACCTTAAAGTTAGCAAAGCGATTTACTTACAAGTAAAAAGTACACCATGCATACTTTTTAAAGATAAAATATATTATATATACTTCCCTGAGGTCACAATAACCAAAACTTGACAGAGCACCAGGGCTCCCCTGCCCACCCCCCCAGCTGTCAGGCACTAGGTGAGGCCCTTGGGAATACAGACAAGTGAGGCAGTCCCGGACCTCAAAGAGGAGAGCTCTTGAGCTGGAAGCAACCAGCAGATCATTTTACAGATGAGGAAACTAAGGTCCAGCTTACATTCGATTAAAGGGAACCAACACAATACGGGGGGAGGGAGGGAAGGAGAAAAGAAGGAAGGGAAGAAAGAAAGGTGAGGGGCAGCTAGATGGTTCGGTGGATAGAGTACCAGCCCTGGAGTCAGGAAGACCTGAGTTCAAAACCAGTCTCAGACACTTGACACTTACTAGCTGTGTGACCCCATTGCCTAGAAAAAAAAAAGCGAGAAAGAAAGAAAGGTGATAGGTCAGTAGCAGCACTAACTGGGGGAATCAGGAGAGGCCTCTTGAAGTAGACAGCTCTTCAGTTGAGCCTTGAAGTGAATTAGGGGTTTCAAGAGAAGGTGATGAGGAGAAAGAATCTTCCAGGCATGGGAAAGGACCTGAGCAGAGGCTTGGGAGACAGGAGATGGACGGCCCTACAGGGAGAATGCCAAGCAGGCAAGCGTGGATGGGGCGGAGTCTGGAAATACTATGGGAACTATCTCCATTTTGCACATGAGGAAACTGAGGCTCAGTGAGGTTAAGTGAATGTTGTTCTTATCTAGAGGGAAGCAACATTCATTTAACCACTGAGTAAAGCCAGATGAGGATATATTAAATAGGTGATTTTTTTTAAGTACCAATAGAAACTTATTTTTAAAATTGTCAGTGCTTGTGAAATTGAATTGAATGGATGAAAGAGACCAGGAGACTCAGAGTCTAAACGAGTGACCTATGGCAGTCCACCACATCTCCTTGGGCCTCAGTCTCCTAACCTGTAAAATGGAGATCATTCCTGTCCTGCCTACCCCATAGGGCAGAGAAGAAAACAACAAGAACGGGAAAGGATTTCACAAATTATTTTCAATTAATTGTGCTAGCTCAGGAGGCCAAAAAAACAAAAAAAACTCAGCTCCTGGCTCATACCAAACGGGGTGAATAAGCTTTTCTTCCTTTTAATCACATCCTAACAACCTGGCAGCAAAGCAAGTGGGTCTCTAAGTATGAAGGGAAACAGTTTCAATAACAGGGCAAGGACAGGATGTGGGGAGTCCCCCCACCCCCATCCTGAAGCGGAACCAGGAGCCCCAGAGAAGGAGCAGGAAGGAGACAGGCTCCAATTGCCCCCAGACTGACCCCTGTTCAGCACCCCTCTTGCCTTGGGCCCTGAGTTTCCAACTCTTCTCCCCCCCCCCATCCCCTAATCTCTCATTCCTCCAGCTCAGTTACTTATAAGATGTCACTGCCTGGAAAGTGCTTTTGTGGGTTGGTTTTTTTTTTTTTTAATCCGACTGATGAAATGAGCAAGTTTAACCTCCTCGCCGCTGAAACCGCCTCTCACTTGCTGCAAAGGAAAAGGCTGGAGACCCAGGCTGAAGTCCACCAAGTGTGTACCCCACCCTGAGGAGGGAAGGCTGGGGAGGAGCCCTCTTTTTCCAGGGCTCCTCCAAGGATTACCTCATACCACCCCTACCCCAACTCCAAGCGGCAGCTCAGTCCTGACAGCCTCTCCTCAGTGGACCAGGCGGAGATTAGGAGTTGGAAGGGCCCTCAGAAGCTGTCAGGCCAAACCCTCTCATTTTACAAGAGAAGGAAAGATGAAGCCTGTGCAGTTAGAAAGCAGCCCTGTCAGAATCTGAACTCAGGTCACTGAATGGGAGATCCAGAACCTCTGAGGCCACTGAGATTAGCTCAAACCATGCCCCCGCCTCCATTTCAGAGCTGAAACAGACCCATGAAGATTAAATGATCTGCAAAGGTCACAGGTCATATTTCAGAGGTCAAATTTGAACTCTTTCAAAGTCTTTAGACTTTGTTCAGTAAACTTTCTACTACATCACACTGCCTCCTTAATCATCTGTGGCAACCTTATCTCATTTAATGAGCAAAGTAAATTCCTGAGATTGAGTGACCTGGCCAAGGTCACATAGCTAGTAAGGTCACAGAGCTTAGAATTCAGATCTGGTGCTTGGGCATCCAAATCTCTGCTCTCCACCAGGGATGCTTCGGGGCTGAGAGCTGGGGAAAGATTTCCCATGTCTCATCATTCCAGCAAAATCACTGACCAGAAGACACAGACGCCCATAGGAAGCCCCCTACCTCTGGGTTATCTGCTGGGGATAAGGGAGAAACAATTCTGCCAAGTCTTGCCTGCTAGCCCATCCATTCTTTTATTTTGATTCAACTCAATGAATAGTTATTAGAGAAGAGATAAGATGCTGGAAGGTGACAGTCAGGAAGACCCGGGCTCAAGTCCTCCTCTGACACAAACTAGCCCTATGACCACGGGCCCCTCACTCAGCCTCTTAGTGGTCAAGGCAGCTCTCTAAAATTATGAAGTTATGTTTTTGCGTCAGTGGAAGGCAGTTTCCATACCAGAAGTTTCCTGGAGAATGAAATCACAGGTTTGTCCAACAACCATTTATTAAAGGTCTAACTGTGTAAGGCAATTGTGAAAGGTCTAATCGAGCTCACCCCATTCTCACTGTTACCCTGTAAAGCAGAAGGGCACAGATTCCTATCCCTGCTGGGGGAAACTGAGACTCCAAGGGAGAAATTAAGTGACCTGCCCAAAGAGCTCTGCTGAAGAGAAACAACCATCTGGTTCCAAATTCAGTGTTTCTGTTCGGGCCTCTCTTGCCCCTGGGGAGGCTGCCCCCCACCTCTGCTTTCCCGCACCTCCCCTCCCCCCACCCTCACCAAGCAGAGAGTGTTCTGCCTGCCAGCAGGCAGTTCTTCATCTGACTACCTCACTTGTTCAAGATTCAAGGCTGGGCCCACTTCCCACTCTCCAGCTGGCTGGCCCCGGGCTTGGGCCTGAGCTTTAGCATGAAGGTAAGAAGAGATAGTGGGGATGAGAGAGTAACTCTCAAAGCTAAGGGGTAGGCAGGGGGCTGCAACCCTGCCCGGCTTCAGTTCCAGGCAGTGATGACAAATGGAGGTGACACTAACTCTTAGGAGGAGGGAAGGGAGAAGGAAGCCGGGTCTCTCCTCTGGTCTGCAAAAGCTGCTCAATTTCACCTGCTCCCACCTGCCAGCATATACACGTTGGGGCTTAAGGGGAAAGAAAAGCAGGACAGGAACCCTCCCTAGATGTCCGATCCATCACCTGTCCTGGGACACATCCAGACAGACCACTTGGGGACTCTTACTGCCCAGCCAGCCACGGACGTTCAAGCCACCTGTCTGCCCCTACTCCCCTGTCAAAAAATCCACAGCCCACAACCACACATATCCAGACCACTCATCTATCCCACTCCCTTCCACTCCAGCACAAACACTAATTGCTTATTTGTCTCTGCACCGGCCACGTCCATCTGGCCCATTCCCACGTTGCCCCTAACCCGTCCTCCTCCCCCCATCTACTCCGGACCGGTACCCCAGCCTCTCCCCATCTAACCCTAGCTTGTACAGCTGGCCCCCTGGTCTACCTCCTGCCGTGGCACAGCTGGTGGCCCCCTCCCCCGGTCTCTCCCCCCAGGACACAGCTGCTGGCCCCCTGGTCTCCTCCTCCCTCCCATGGTGGCACAGCTGGTGGCCCCCTGCAGACTCCCCCCGGGATACAGCTGGTGGCCCCTGGTCTCTACCCCCAGGACACAGCTGCTGGCCCCCTGGTCTCCTCCTGCCCCCCGTGGTGGCCCCGCTGGTGGCCCCCTCCCCCCCCCCCCCCCGGGCGCCGCTGGTCCCCTGCCCCCCCCCCCCCCCCCGCCCGGCTCCCTCTCCCCCGCGGGCCGGGCGCGGGCTGGGCGGGCTCACCATGGCGAAGCCCGAGAGCAGCGCCGACGTCCGGCTGGAGGCTTTGAGCTTGGCCCGGCTCAGGTAGAGCTTGCGCCAGGACAGCGCCTGCATGGAGTGCTCGTTGAGGCTCATCACCTCCTGGTAGCTGTGGCCCACCCACTCCGGGTACGAGACAGCAGCCCCGGGCAGCGGCGGCGGCGGCGGCGACGGGGCGGCCCCGGGCGGCTCGGCGGCGTCCCCGCTGCGACGGCGGCTCCGGCTGCTGCCGCTGGTCGGGGGAGAGCTGCCGCGGCCGCCGCTGGCGAGGGGAAGCGCGGGGCTGCTGCTGCTGGGCGGGGGCGGGGCGGGCTCCGGATGCATGGAGCACGTTGCGAAGGCCCGCCCGGGCGGCGGCTGGCGAACGGGAGGGGCCCGCGCGGCTCGGCGCTCCCGCGCCTCGGCCTCGCCTCCGCCTGAGCCTCCGCCGCGCAGCGAGCGCCGAGCAGCCCGAGCGGCCGACGATCACGGACCGCACTGACGGGCCGAGCCCAGGCCACCGCCTCCCGCCGCCCGGACCCCCGGCGCGACCGCCGATTGGCCTCAGACCGCCAGCCTCATTTGCATGAGCCCCTTGGGCTCCGCCCACGCTCGGCAGCCCCCTCCGAGGCCCGCCGGGGCGGGGGCGGAGGAAGGAGTGGGCGGGGCTTGGAGAACGTGTGACCCGGCTCCTCCCACAACCCACCTCCTCCTGCTCTGCTCCCCTGTCTCCAACACCCCCCCCTCCCAGTTTCCACCCAGCCCGGGCTGCCCCGCTCCCAGCAGTGCGCCCATCTCCGGCTGGCTGCTCACCCCAACCCGCGCCCTCAGCCGCTTCCTTTGACAGCTTCTCACACGCTCAGGTTCCCGGGGCGGTGGACTACAGACTTAGGAAACTGTCATAGGAATGAGGTCATATAGCATGTATGCGACTGTGGATGGATGGCTGGGTCTGGAGTCAGGAGGATTTCTAGCTGTGGGACCCTGGACGAGTCACTTCACCTCCGTTTGCCTTAGTTTCCTCATCTGTAAAACGCAGCAGCTACCTCCCACGGTTGTTGCGAGGATCAAATAAGACAAAAATTACAAAGCGCTTATGACAGCGCTTGGTGCATAGTAAAGCACTACGTCAATCAATCAATTACTCTTCAATAACAACAAAAAGGTGATACGGTGGACGGAGCTCCAGCCCCGGAATCAGGCAGACCTGAGCTCAAATATGCCCTCAAACACTTACTAGCTGGATGACCCTGGGAAAATCACTTCACCCTGTTTGCCTCAGTTTCCTCATCTGTCAAATGAGCTGGAGAAGGAAATGGCAAACCACTTCAGTCTGTTTGCCATGAAAAGCTCACGGACAGTATTGGCGCGCTAGATAGTTCACGGAGTCGAAGAGTCGGACACGACTGACCAAGATCCGTTAAAGTTTTAAGAGGATCCTGAGTGTGGCCAGCCCTCCAGAGAATTTCTTTTGCTTAACTATGCATATTTTTCACTACGATTGTGTTTTTCTTTTTCTTTTTTGATGAAGTGACTTGGGAGGTATAAAAATAATTAATAATTTTTTTAAAATTTAATTAAAAAAAAACATCTTATGGCCCTATTCACTCTTCCTGTCCCAAATACTTTATGGAGCATCGATGGCTTTGAGAAAACAGAATGCCTGCAGAGAGCTCCCTCCCCAGTAGGGGGCGAAGGGTAGCAGCACAGAGCAGAAATAGGAGTGAGTTCGGGGCCGGGAGGAAGCCTCGTGGGGAGGGTCAGAGAAAAGGATGTGCAGGCTGGGGGCTCTGCGATTACCTTCCCAAACTGGCTTAGGAAAAACAATGGAATAAAACTGCTGCAGCCCCTCAGAGGATGCTTGGAGGCGGGCAGCCTGGAACTCTTTTCCGCAGCATTCTTAGCAGAGCTTTCTCTGGGTACAGGGCAACGGATCTTCCTGTCCTTCTCCTCCTCTCTCCTCTCCAACCAGTCTTTTCTATGCCTTTATGGGTCTTTCATCGAAGCACTTCTTGGAAAATGGGTAGAGCCCAGGGTAGAAGACATTGCTGAGCGTGTAGGAGTCTGCATGGGTGGAGGGAGTTTGCTCACTGGAAGTCACCAGACACACACACACACACACACACACACACACACACACACACACACATCTATGAAAAGCAACCCTGAGTCAAGCAGACAGCAAGAAGTACAGATGGAAAACCCACAATGTAATGAAATTGAAATAATAGGATTCCAACATGGAAGAGATCTTAAGAGACACATCATCTAATCCAATTTCCTTATTTTACTAATAGGGAAGTTGAGACCCAAGGCAGGAGAGTGATTTGCCCTCAAGTCCCTCGGGAGTACAAGTACATAGGATCTAGGGATCTTAATTAGAATTAGAAGAGAACTATTCTTCAAACCCCCTCCCTGTTTTACAGATGAGAAAACTGAGTCCCAAAAAGTTTAAGTGACTTGCCTAGGGTCACACAGCTAATAAGTGTCTGAAGCTGGATTTGAACTCAGGGAGAGGAGCCTTCCTGACTCTGGGCCCAGGGCTCTGTGCATTATGGCGCCACCTAGCCGCCCTTTGCTGTTCCACTCCACATCTGCTCCCAGAAGAAGAGGGGTTGATGGTTCTGGAGGGACAAGAGAAAGTGCCATCTTGAAAACAAGTCCCTTAACCTCTAAATGGTGAGGACCAGACTACTCCCACAGAGTAAAGCTCTTGTGAGGAAAGAATGCTTTATGCTCTATGGAAACTTGTTGTTATTAAAATTAATCCCATCACGTATTTCCAAAGATAGACATACCACACTAATGCAGAGACAAAGAGGACTTTTACTAGGGAGGATGGAAGCTAGCTTAGAGAGATATGTCTCAAAAGCCTGTGTAATAACCCTGCATCTACTTTCTTCTCCCTCATTGCAGAAGAAAGGAGTTCCTTTAGCTGGCTACCCAAGATGTTGGAAATTAAGTCTCTCACTATGTCTTCAGACAGATACACTAAATGTCTCTTAGTTGGTTTTCCACGGGTTTTGAAGAAATATGATATTGGTCCTTTGTCATAAGGCTAATTTTTAACCTCTTCAGCCATCTGTAGGGTTAGAGATGATGGATTCATGGAAATTGTATCCCCATTTAGCTTTCTGAGATCTGTTCATTCCTTCCTTGCTCTCCAGACTTCATCCCTTACCACTCATCCCCACATAGATGTGGAGCTAAGGAATCTTCCTTCTCCCGATTTCCCTTCTGGTACCTTTTGTCAAATCCCCTCAATTCATTCTAGGGACTAGGAATTCTAAAGACAGCTCCATTTCTCCTCCCTCCTACCTTTAACCTCTAGTCTGCGTTAGATTACCATCTCTACCCCACTGCCTCATATGACTAATTAATCAAGGCCCAGGTTTTGATAAGAGCAAGCAGCCAAGGTGCCTGGGAAGGGGTCAACCCCTTCCTATTGACCCTTCTTTCTCATCCCTTTCAACCTGTTCTGCTACTTGTATTGTTGGTTTTTTTGTAAAGTGGATGCCCTACTTTTTGGATAAATATTTTTGAAGCTGCCATTTCTATTTCTTTTGTTTTTTAAAATGTTTTCAGATTTTTTTTTCTGGGTTAGACAAGAAAGCCTCGATTACAATCTTCTTGTATCTTTGGGTTGGTTTGGGTTTTAGGTTTGGTTGTATTTGTTTATTTGATGTAATAAATTTATAAAATAAAAAAAAATTAATCCTATCTCCAGAGATCATCAGACCCAAGAAAAGTCTTTCAATGCCCAGAAAGAAGACACAGAATACAGAGTTCATAGCCCTATATTCTCCGTCTCTGTTTGTCTGCTTCTTTACATAAATGCAATATCAAAGCATTTTACGTAACACAAAAACAAGGTCAGTCGCAAAGGGGAAAACCAAACAATAGATTCATTCTCATATTAAAAATATTAAAAATGGGCACAGACTCCCAGGTAAGTAAAGAAGGGAATATTCCCTAAAACAATTCACTCTCCAACACCCCGATTCTCTTAACGCAGCCCAAGATTTCATTTCTGTTGAACTTTTGGCTCACAGTGACCACTTAAACCCCCAGATCTTTTTCAAATGGAAGAGTTTGCTGGAAAGATGGTAGTGACTTGCCACAACTAGGTGTTACAAATTCCTTAACCTTTCACATTAAGCCTTCCATGACCTTGCTCCTTCTTCCAGACATTTCATCTCACTCCCCTTCACACATTCTAGATTTCCAGTCAAAATGACCTTCCTATTTTGCAAACTCAGCATGCCATTCCTTGCCTCTAAGTTTTTGCATAGGCTGTGCCCATTTCTAGAATGCTAGTTGATCCCTCTCATCGCTTTACCTTCCCAGAAGGTCCAGTTCAGCAGTCACTTGTTCCATGAATCCTTTTCTTCCATTCCTATTTATCAATACATACTCCCTCCTCAAATTTATTTGTATTTCCTAAGCTGTTCACAAGTTGTATTGTCTTTCCCAGAAAAACAAACAAACACTTCTTGAGGGCAGGGACCATTCTGTTCCCTAACACAGTGCCTACCACATAATAGCAACTTAGTGGATTGACTTACACACTTTAGCTCTTCAGGCCCCCCACCCCCACCCTCAGCACCCAAAAGTACAGCCATTGACTGCCTTCATGGCTCCCTCTGGTGGAAGTGATGTGTCACCTCAGGCATCTGGGCATTACCAAGCCCTGGAAATACAGAATCAATAAGTCAGCATATTATCTATTGACTTCTTATTATGTGCCAAGCATTGTGCTAGGCACAGGGCATACAAGTACAAAGAATGAAACAATCCCTGCTTGAAAGGAGGTTACATTTCAATGGAGGGACATACAAAATATATATTGAGCATAAATATAGAGTTAATATAAATTTGTCTTGGTTTGGAACTATGCCAAATTGCAATCAAACTATGCTTACCCTTTGATCTGGCAAGACCACTACTAGGTCCATATCCCAAAGACATAATAAAAAAAGGAAAAGAACCTACGTGTGCAAAAATATTTATTGTAGCTCTTTTTGTGGTGGCAAAGAATTGGAAATTGAAGGGATGCCAACCAGTTGAGGACTGAACAAGTTGTGCTATATGATAGTGATGGAATATTATTGGAGCAGATAGATTTCAGAAAAACTTACATGGAATTGACTTACATGAACTGATACAAAGTGAAGTGAGAAGAACCAGAACATTGTATATAGTAACAGCAACATTGTATGATGATCAACTCTTAATAACTTAGCCCTTCTCAGCAATACAGTGATCTAAGACAATTCCAAAGGACTCACGATAGAAAATGCTGTCCACCTTCAGAGAAAGAACTGATGGAATCTGAAAGCAGATTG